ATATCGCGCTTTATCGGTCTCATTTAAAAAGCGAAAATGCTTGAGTCACGTTTGAGTGTCTTATAACCTGTTGAAATCGGTAATTGAATAGAATTTATAGTTGATACAGACCGTATGCGTATTTTCAAACCTCTGAGGGCTGGATACGGTCCAATCTTGTGCTTTAATAAAAATAGAAAAGCGTAAATTTGAAACCCATGTTAGAGTAAATAGCAACTTGCTAGTCAGTTGTCACCTTTGTTAAACAATAGATACCAAACTGAGAAACCCGCTTTATCCTCGACGGAGAGAGACAGAATGCTACGTGTCGTTGCATACTCAGTGATTTTCCATATTTAAAAAGTGTAAAATCGAGAACCTTGTTAAAGTGTCTAGCTAGTGAATTACTTCAAATAACGATCGAATAACGTTCAACTTAGTCACTTAGGCAGGCAAATCGACAAAGTGAAAAAATGCATATCAGTTAAGGTATGATATTATTCACCTAATATTGTGAATATTATTGAATTATACTGAAAGGAAAGATTATATTATATTGCCTATATTTTAATGGCCACTACAACATAATGATGATTGATGATAGTATAAGAAATGTAAAAGCAGGTTTGATGATCCAGACTCCATCTGACTGTCATCAATGTTTGATCTCTGTTACCCGAAGYTATTATAAATTTATAAGACACCCGGTTTTGTAGCTATAAAATATATACCATATACACAACATACAATACACAGTATATACCATTAAAAATGTTTAGTCATATACTGGAGCAACGAAATTTACGATTATATAACGTATTTTTCGTGCTTGAGGCATATAATATAACTGTCAACTACCGATCGATCTTTTTTTGGGAAGCATAACTGCTTAGAAATGGCGTATAAGGTATAACAAAAATACAAAAAACAATATAATAAATAACAGTAATAACACCCATTGTTGCCAATGGCCATAGTTGCCGAGGCTTAATTCTAATAAATAAATAACACAAATTCAGGGAAATGTGTATAAAATTGGATTTCTGTTTGTTTGTCTCCTAGAGCTCGTGCATTTAAAATTGAACTAGGTACAAAAAACTGGCGTTGTGCATTGAGGTGAAACGTAAAACATTAAAAAGTTAACTTGCCGATGGAATTTAAAAATATACAGTACCTATTGCAGTGGTATTCTGGTGCAGCAAAATGCAGTGTGGTGGAAAACTATAAATTGCAGTACCTATTGCCTATTAGTCATGAATTATGATTAAAATAACATGTGCTTATGATAACACTTATCATGCTGGCCGGCGGTCGCTAAAGAGTGCTAAATCCAAAAATGTTGTAAAAAAAATAGTACTTATTTCCAGATATTCATTCTTTATTTAGTATTAACAATTTCATTAGTTTTAAACTTTTAAAGGCTTTTATTAAGCTCTAGATAATAAATATGTATATAAAATATTGTTCGATCTCCATTAATTGTTGAAAAATTAAATAGTTTAAATTAAAAAACAGGCAGCAGATATTATCATGTATACTGTAACCAAATATGTATCTCGGTTTCAAGCTATACGTTTTTATTCTGATGATACGACACGATTAAAGAAAACTATATTCTTGCCAGTCACAAAATTTAAAAGTAGGTTGAATGCGGATCAAATTATTCAAAGAGATCATCATATTTTTAAGGTAAATTATAGATAGGTTATGTTCTAGTATGTACCTAACAAGTATAAAATTATCATTGTTGTAGACATGTGGATTTTCTGAACTATATTCTTGGCAAAGACAACATCTTAACAATGAAGAGTATATTTTACATGATGGACCACCATATGCTAATGGCTCAGCACATATTGGCCATGCCATAAACAAAGTAGTAACTTTTTAAACTGTATTAGATTTCTAAAATAATTAATTTATTGTTTTGYACAGATACTTAAAGATATTACTATACGTTCCAAACTTGTAAATGGAAAAAAAATTAATTATATTCCAGGATGGGATTGTCATGGTTTACCCATTGAATTAAAAGCTGAAAAGATTCATGGAAACAAATGGAAGGATTTTGGTCCATTGCAAGTACGGAAAAGTGGTACGAAATTATAATCATTAAAAAAATGTCTGGTTAATAATTGAAATTTTGAAAAATCTAATGTAAACACATAAATATTTTTTCAGCTAGAAAATATGCTTCAAAAGAAATAGAAAAACAAAAAACTGTTTTTAAGTCATGGGGTATACTTGCCGATTGGGAAAATAATTGTTATTTTACTTATGATAAAAATTATGTCAAAAACCAAATTCAGCAGTTCTTTAAATTATATAAAAAAGTAAATTTATATATGAAGTCTCCTAAACATTTTTTTAAAAGCTAATTTATTATTTATAGGGTTTAATCTATAGAGATCTCAAAACAGTTTACTGGTCACCTTCATCAAAGTAATATTTTTCAATTTAACTATTTGGCATTTACCAATATTTATCTTACCTTAAAATTTTTTAGAACTGCACTAGCTGAAGCAGAACTGGAATACAACCCTAATCACCAAAGTAAATCAGTCACTGTCAAACTTAAACTATGTCCATCTACTCTTTCAGTAGATTTAAGTAATTATAACAGTGAACCAATTTATGCGCTTATTTGGACTACTACACCATGGACATTACCAGGAAATATTGCTGTTGTGTACTCACCAAATTTATTATACTCTTTTGTAAAAATTCAAGATACCCTTGGTGTATATTTGATTGCAACTGATTTAGTTGACAATTTAAGCACCAAAATAGAAAAAACAATTGAAATCATTACAACAGTTAAAGGTATGGGCCTATTAGCTATTAATTCATTTTTATAAACATTTATAGAATAGCTTTATAGGTCAGCATCTCWGTGGTTTAAAATATAAAAGTTTAAGAAATGGTGAAAATGATAAACAATTTTTGGAAGGTGACCATGTGACTATAGACAAAGGTACAGGATTAGTTCATACTGCACCAGCATATGGACATGAAGATTTTTTAATTGCATTAAAACATAAAGTACCCATTGTGAGAATCCAAAATTATTTCATTACTTAAATTTTATTTATTTTATCTATGAAATTCTGAATAATTTGTGATTAAATTTTCTAGGAGTGCCATGTAGATGAGAATGGTATTTTTATGCCACAAASATGGTCAGAACTTAGAGGATTACCCGTTTTAGACATTGGAAATGAAACTGTGTGTTCATTGTTGAATGATAAAATATTGCATACAGAAATTTATGAACATAGTTATCCTTATGATTGGCGCACCAAATTGCCTGTGATTGTTCGTGCTAGTAAACAATGGTTTTTGGATACAGCAGCAATTAAAAACCAATCAATTGTAAATACTTATATTTATCTAATACAAATTACCTATAAAGTATTCATTGAATTTGCTAGGTACTACATATTTTATCAACAAATATATATGATTTGTTTTGTTTTGTAATATAATAAAATAAAATAATTTTTAATACAATTTTCTTTGGAATAATATAACAATATCCCAAAGACCAGAATAGTATTCATAGATTAAACTTTTTGAGTAATAAATATGGTTTAAGTTTAAAAACATCTAAAAATATAAATCTTAATAATTCATAAATTAACATATAAAAGTAATATTTTTTTGTCAATATTTCAAATTTGAAATCCAAAAATACTAGTTACAAAATTAAATTTGTTTTTATTATTCAACCTTCACACTAATATTTCTAAAATAAAAAAAATCTTAAATGAACGCATGTTAAGTTATTATTGCTTATTTATTTTATAATATATATGGTATGGTAATGTATAGCTAAATTTTAATAATTTATTTTAAATTTTTTCATAATGTAAGGAATGTTTGAAAGACATAAAAATTTATCCTGAACTTGGTGGAAGTCGTAATGCTCTTTTAACACTAATTGAAAAACGACCATATTGGTGTATATCCAGACAACGTTCATGGGGTGTACCCATACCTGTATTATACGATGAATTAGATAATACAATAATAGATGAGTAAATATTTAAATTTCTATATTTTTAATCTAATTCTTTAAATTTTACCATCTTTTGTCAGAAAATTGTTAGACCAATATTATACATTATTAGAAAAAGCGGGGCAAGATTTTTGGTGGATTCATGATGTCCAGAAATTGGTTTCAAACACGCCGCACAGTTCAGAAAAATTAAAAAAAGGACTTGTATGTTCAGATGTATTAATTTTCTTTTTTAATTATTATTTATATATTTTATTATAATTGCTTAACAGGATATTCTAGATATTTGGTTCGATAGTGGAGTTTCGTGGAGCTGTGTATTAGGTGATGACAAAATTGCTGATTTGTATATGGAAGGTGTGGATCAATGCACAGGCTGGTTTCAGGCATCTCTCATGTCATCAATTGCCCTTAGAAATGTTTCACCATTTAAGTAATGAAACATTTTTAWTTTCAGCTTAATATTTCATATTTATTCAAAAATTTTA